ATAGATAGATAGATAGATATGAACAGACTGAGATAGATAGATAGATAGATAGATAGATAGATAGATAGATAGATAGACGGGAAACAGAAGGGAAATGAAAACCGTTTTATTATTTAACTTATGGTTGACATGTCATTCACCTAAACAATTTCTATTGAAGTAGGATCATCCCCAATAGTTGTCTTGTCTGAGGCGGAATTCAAGGCTTGAAAGAAAGAAAGATAGAAAGAAAAAAAGAAAGAAAAAAAGAAAGAAAGAAAATATGAGAAAATAAGTAAAGGAAAAATGAAAGAAAATGTTTTCCTTAATCTCCTCAATAAAATTCTGTATAAAAAACAAAACCAAAAAATAAATCAATGCATAAAAATAAAAAGAGGGAAAGAGAAAAATAAAATAAAATGGCTGAAACTATTTTTACGTCGTCACATCGCGATATGATGGCATTTTTATTTTTTTGTTTAACGCATTCTTTCCCATAATGCTTTGCTTGTGCTGACGTCACTGACACGTGAATGAGTGAATAAATGAATGGCCTATTCTTTGCTCTTTCCATTCATATCGGCTATTTTGTCATCACAATCTAATATTTGTTTTCCTCTGCAAAACGTGAACCAAAAGCAGCTTTGGAAACAAAAGGCCGCCTGTTTTGTAGAGCCATGTATCTTTAAATAGCTAATTTGTCGATAGACACACCAAACACAATTTACGACCCCTAAAAGACAGTATGAGAACTCCACTCGTACAGTGGTCTCCGGGTGTTGCCCCTTCAGTGATTAGGCACAAAGGCAACTGTGAAAAGGGAATTTCGGTGACTCTACACAGGCTTTCAAAATGACTCCCGAAAGAAAACAGAAGCATCCCAGCTCTTTTCGATGTTTAGCTAAAGGTTGGCGCTTACCACAAACAACGACGATTTTTCTTGGGGAAATTGATGTCAGGACGAGTGAAAAGGCGTGTATTGTGATATGTTTATACAAAACTCGGTTTTCCAATACTGGCCATTGGCTTGTACTGAATATCGTTCGCAGTAAAAGCACAACAAATTCTCTGTAAATTACAACGAACACAACAACGTTGTATGCGATTTGAGCCAGGAAACATCAACTGTCTTATTTTAATTTAATGCCCATGAAGAACCTTTGATCTAAATGGAGTTGATCTGTGGTGACCTCAGTATATAGTGTGTATATCCTGTGAGATACAAGGCAAGCTTTATACTTGGTGTCACATCAGAACGTAAAAAAAATAAAATCTAGGTGCCTCAGAGGGATGACCAAAAAAGTGTCATCATAGTCACTAAGTGGGCGAAATAAAGGGTTCAGTTCGGCATTCAAACCACCCGATGAAGGCCGGAGCGTACAACGGCTGAAACGTTGTAATAAATATGGCGACAAAGATGAGGACAATAGTCCGAATAATGTAAATAGTGTATATAATACCTCATGTCAGAAATATAGACAGATAATATCTATCTACCTAGCCACCTGAACTGAACCCTTTATTTCGCTCACTGTTGTAGACTGTTCTAGTTCCACGTGCCATGTTTAATGGATGTCAGTTATCAGTTATCTCCTGTTAATTTCCCTCTGAAAGTTCTCCACTGCCTTAACCGGGTATTGAACTCACACTCTTTGGGTCCTGTGACTGGGTCTAACTAACGCCTTTATCCACTGTGCCATGTGTTCTTGAGTGAGCGAAATAAAGAGTTCAGTTCGACATTCCAAGAAGAAGGCCGAAAACGTTGTAATAATTATGGCGACAAAGATGAGGACAATAGTCCGAATAATGTAAATAATGTACATAATATCTCAGAAATATAGACAGATAGTTCATTTGATATTCAAGATTACTTGCTACTGCTGCTGCTGCTGCTGCTGCTACAGCCGCTGCTGCTGAATCAGGTTTCATATTGTTTCACTTTTCTAGTATTTGCGCACGCAGTGACTGGCTATGATAATTCGGTCATCTTCATCACTTCCTCGTCTATTATCATGCCACGGCTGCGCAATGAGGCCATGGACACCCGAATAAAACAGCTGGATTTGTGTAACTTTTTCTTTAATTATAGTAGGAACAATTAATTCTACATTCGATAGGAAATCCTTACAAAGCCTTACCTTATCAGATATCAAGATGACCGCAAGCTATTTATCCAATGCACTGGTAAAGTGAGCTATATAAAATTCCAAACTTCAAGCCACATCACTCTCCTCGTTGTATAGACATTTGTTCTTGCCACAATTACTGTGTTAAAATCAGTAATAAATCATAGACTCTTGTACTGGGTTTAAGATGTTTCAAGACTGATTGGAGGTAAATCCTTAAGGACATGATCGATCACGGCCCTCCGCAGCTTCGTATTTTTTAAAAATGTATATTGTCATGATTTTTCGTGGGAAAATCGAGTACTCTATGAAGATTTCAAAAGTGTCTACACGGACTTGTGGGTGATGAATTATTTTCAACTTTACAATCCCTTCCCCCAAACAAAATGTCGCCAGCGTTTTGCTACTCTATTTCAATGGCAAATGTCATGACGAACTACATTCGTTGGACCCACCAGTTCAGAGCTTTACATTTAAGAACGCTATCCACTGGGGCGAGTCATCACTATTCTCATTGTATTCCATTCATAAGAAGGAAGTTCCATTCGGACCGCTTCTTCTCTAGAACCGCTAATTTGTGGAACAGACTCCCGAGAAGGTGCTTCCCAGATCTTAACCTCTTAAATTTTAAGGACAACCTTTATCCATCCTTATAATCTGCTTTTCTTACCATCTCTTTCATGTTCATACAGAAACCGCATTAAGTAATCCTCTACTTTGAGTGGCTCTTGGGACTTCTACTGGGTGAGAAATTAGTAAAAAAGAAAATGAGCTTAAGTACAAAGGGAACTCTCATAATAGGAATCTAAATTAGGCCTTCCGATTCGTTTTTTGCACATTAAAATAAAAAAGCGACGTAAAAAGATTTATTGAAATACGAGGGTAAGTCAAAAATTATCCGCACCCTCACCATAAGATATTTTTTGTTTTATCACACTGCCTTCTGCTCATGTGTGCTTATATTTGGTACTATTGTGGTCCCGCTATCGAAATTTGACTTCGATCGCGCTAGTTTTCTTGCTGCTGTTACAGTGTAAACATGGCCGCCCCACTAGCAGTGTTCAGCGAAAGTGCGGATAATTATTTACTTACCTCCCTCTTAAGATTTTTTTTTTTAAGTTCGTTGGATATTTTATAATTCAAAATGATTTTTAAAAAATTCGTACGATATCTTATGAGCACAGAAGACAAAATTAGCGATCCGAATCTGAATTTTGACTTTGTTTCTGTTCACTCTTACCTTCGGAATAACACAAAACCTTTTCTCCGTGCGTTCTTTTTTATTAACAAATATATTGTTTCAGCACTGGTATGTCAAGATGGTTGTTGGAGAAAAGAGAAATCAAGTCCGATATTTGTAATTCTAATACGACTTTAATTTTGATATACAAACACTAGCAGCTACTTTTCGTGTCCTAAAGATGCTATGTAGAACCCACCAGACATGGCAACCTGATGGTTCATTTATACAACCACCAACCAATCATTGGCCTCCAGCCATAACTTCGAGATTTGCAGTCATCGAATTTTCATTTCTACACTAATTTGGGTGTAATCGGGGGAAAAGATAGCTGGATACATAATTGGAAAGGTGAGCTTTGAGAATTTGACACTCTCGGGACATATCAAGAGATATAGGGGCCACCTACAGAACAAGCTTGTGTGAATGGATGGTGGAAGTGACTTTGAGAGGATTGGCAAAGAGACAAAAGTTATTGAGAGGGCTACAAGCTGTGGAGACCCATAATCGCCTCAGTACTGATCTCATCACCTAGATGAAGAACCCTTCACTTCTAGTTATGAAATAAAAACACATGTTCGCCCTCTTCCCTTCTCTCCAAAGCGCAAAACTTTCTATCTCTTTCTCAATCTATCTCTCACTCTCTCTCTCTCACACACACACACACTTTCTCTGTCTGTCTGTCTGTCTCTCACTCTTTCTCTTACACTCGCTCTCTTTTCTGTCTTTCTGTCTCTCTGTTTGTCTCTCTCCCTATCTATCTATCTATCTATCTATCTATCTATCTATCTATCTATCTATCAAATTCCTTTTTCCCAAAAATGCAAACGCACACACTTAAACATCAGCGACCCCCACCACCACACACGATTTCACACCAAAGGAGTCTACTCTCTGATTGGTGAATATTTTGATTGGTGAATATCTCTCTCTCTCTCTCTCACTCACTCTCTCTCTCACTCACTCTTTCTTTTACACCCTCTCTCTCTTTGTCTGTCTCTCTCACTCTCTCTCTCGCTCTCTCTCACTCTCTCTCTCTCTCCATATCTATCTATCTATGTATTTATCTATCAAATTCCTTTATCCCAAAAATGCAAGCGCACACACAAAATACTCTCTCTCTCTCTCTTTGTCTGTTTCTCTCCCACGCTCTCTCTCTCTCTCTCTCTCTCTCCGCATATCTATCTATCTATCTATCTATCTATCAAATTCCTTTCTCCGAAAAATGCAAGCGCACACACAAAAATTAAGATCCCCCCCCCGCGATTTCAAACCGGGGGGGGGGTCTACTCTCTGATTGGTGAATATTTTGATGATGTCACACTGAAAGGAACTATGACATGTCTATACTTGGCATCTCCATTTCAGCGGTTTGTTCAAGTCCGCACCTTAATGATGAATCGTGTGTTTATTTTATAGAAATGAATTATGACGATGACAGATCCATTTACAGAAACATATCAATGAATCAAAATCAGTTTCAAATAGACACGCTTGAAGCAAAATCTTGATTACGGCAGGCACACACGCGCACGAACACACGCAAGCGCGCATATACACACGCGCACCCGCGCGTGCGCGCGTGTATACATACATACATACATACATACATACACATATACGCCATTTTCATGAAACTATATTTAAAATCAGGCTTACGACCATAGCATACTGAAACACCGGTTTCCGTACGATCACCGGTGTTAAGCAACGTCGAACCTGGTCAGTACCTTGATGGGTGACCGCTTGGAAATACTAAGTGTTGTAAACTTGGATGTTCGAGTGGTGTAATGGATAATAACTCAGGTTCGTTAATTGGAGAGCGGAGTTCCAATTCCAGTTGGGTTCGTTATATTAGCTTACGTGCGAAACCTTTAGGAAAGGTATGAATCCACCTCTTCTCCCCCAGCTATGGGTTAATTAGTAAAACTTGTATCACTAAATCATTATTATCTCCAAAACATATCTTACATTCTCAAAAAAATATATTCTAGCTTTAAATAACCTATATATAAATATATATAATGTATATATGTGCGTGTGTGTATCCAAGCAACTCCTCCGCTTCCACTAGTCCGATTTCAATGATTCATAGCTCATTCAAAAGCCGTAGAAAAGTCAGGCGCAGGGAACGATTTTCGTTGAGCTCAGATTCAGTGGTTGGTAGATTATGCTTATATTATCATTTACGTTTTTATTGAAAAAAAATTATATAATGGCACCAGAAGACAATCTTTTAACAGAAGACAAAATTATATTTTAGCGTTTCATTATCAATAAAATGCTACACGACAATTAATTGTTCGTTGTTTTTGTTTAGTGATATATCAACAGTTATTTAATGCCGAAATCGAAATACGAAAATTCATGATTTATAATTCAAAAGGTGGCCTTATTTCATCATTAAATTATAATTACTTAGCTGCATTTTTTACCGAATAATCTTGCAATAGTCTTACAAGTGAAAACATGTTTGCCTTGCAAGAAATGAGATTAATCACAAGTTGTTTATTGATTTATTTATATATTTTTATTTTATTTATTTATTTTTTGATAATGTATGCCACATTTTGAAGATTACTATGAATTGTAGTCAGTCATATATCGAAAGATACATGATCACCTAAGCGTGTACCACGCATGGCACATGACTGACTGAAGTCGTTGCGCGGAGACTGCAAGGAGACTAGCAGAAGGAAAGAACTAAAGACGGTGTTGTTAAGGTTTCAATATTGAGGTCAACTAAAAACGGTCGCTGACAAAACTCAACGGTGTCTGATTATTTAGTGCTTAATGTCAAATTAATGAATATTACACTACAAATTATTTGTTCAGCTTTCAATGGCGTCATGGCCCACCAGCCAAGTGGCGCCCATGGCACACGTTGTGCTTGTCATGCCCGAGATACGACACTGTCTTTGTTGTAATGAATATTACATTCAGTCGATATATCCGCCTCAAACGTACGTTGAATCCAGTATGTTTAAACAAAATTCTTAACTTTTTAAAACATTTTTGTGGGGGTGGTTGTTTAGCGATCTTTGTACACCGCCTGTTACTACAAGAAACTCCCGAAGACGGTGTTTCGCCAACAAGAAAATCTTTTGAAAGTTTCTTAAAATTACTATCAGGAATATCAACGTAATTATTTTATCGATGCATCTGCATATTTATAATATCAATTATACAATGGCCTAAGAAAAGTTTTTAATCAGGAGAAATAAATTCAAAATTATATTACGTAATCCCAACTCAACATAAATAAACAATATTTCGAACTAGTATGGAGTAGGTCATCCATTTGCTAGTTTCACTGCTTATATTCGATTTTTCATGGATTTGATCAAGTTATCAACAATCGTCTGATCCATATTTTGCCATTCCTTTAGCAATGTTTCTTTAAGGGTTGCCACTGACGTGATTTTGGTTGCACGCTCTCGAAGTTTTCGGTGAAGGTGCTCCCAAATGGGCTCTCTTGGATTGATGTCAGGATTTTGGGCTACCGACGGCAGTGACTTGATTCCTTGCGATTCCTTCTAAGCCTTTACTACTTTACTCCAATAGTATGGCCCTCCATCTTCTTGAAAATGGTAGACATTCTTGTCAATCTAATTGGTTTCAAATAGTGGGAGTAGTCCTTTCTCTAATATTTGGCAGTGTTTTGGACCATTCAACCGCTCGTCAACAAGAATCAGCTCAGATTTCCCTCCAAAGCAGACAGCGCCCCACACCATTACATAATCCCTCCATGATTCACGGTCGCCTGCAGACATTCAGTGTTCCAAGTTTCATTTTGATTTTTTCAAAAATAAACCTGTATTGAATATTGACATAATTTACTTTCATCTGACCAAATTACAGACTGCCAAAATTCATAATCTTTGCTCTCGAATTCTCTCGCCCAGTCAATATGCCTGTTTCTGTTAACCTTTGACATCAAGGGCTTCTTTCTTGCAACTCTTCTTTGATAGTCTTTCAGAGTATTTCTCACCGCATATGGGGACATTTCCATGCTGTTGGTGACATTTCCATTCTGTTGGCGACATCTTTGACGCTCTGACCACGGTTTCTAATGACTTCCCTCTTCAGCGCCCTTTTCCTTCACTCAGGCACGATGCTTGGTCTTTCTGAACGTTGTTCCACACAATTGCCTTCTTCATTAAATATCCTGACAATATTATTAACCGTTTGATGATTAACCTGGAAAAAAAACTAGCAATTTCTCTATTTGACTTGCCACACTGATGCCATCCTATTATTTGTCTTCGTTGAAATTCAACAATTTCCTTACTTCCGCGAAGTTTCGTTGCAAAATATAAGTCAACTATCGTTCATAGATGAGAATAACTTGATACTAACATGGTATTGTCTGAAAAATAAAAGAAGAGATGTTATTACACAAGCCAAAATTGCTGTAATCAAGGGTGTTTAAAAACTTATCATAGCCCACTGTATAATATACTAGACTACCCGTAGGGTCATTGATTGTTCAGGTTATAAAACATTGGAGTTCATTTCAACGTTTCATTGAAATGAAATTTAATTTTATTATGATTTAATTAAATATTTTAATTCGTTCGTATCACCATTGGCCTGGTTTACAAGTTCCTGTTTAACGTTTTACTGATTGTTTACAGAATAGAACTTCCGGGATATACTTGAACTTTAAAAAAATATTTTTTAATGTGTCAAAAATATTTTAAAATCATATTCACTTGAAAATCTTTTTAAATATGCCTAAAAATATAATTTTAAATATTTAAAATATTGTTTGTCTAAAGAAAGCTGACATATAAATAATTCTGTCTTTAACTTAAAAATAAAAAAAATACAAAATATAATAATAAAAAAATTGTCTGTTTGAAGAAAGTTAAAATAAAAATACTTACTGTATAAATTTAAATCAGGTTAAAGACAGCCACAAAGAGATGCCGCTTTGCTGTTTCGTCCAGTTGTTTGTAGAGTAATTATTTATATTTCAGTTTTCTTTAAACAAACAATATTTTAAATATTTAAAAAATATCATTTGGCATATTTTAAAAAAAATATTTTCAAGTGAATATGTTTTTAAAATATTTTGGCATAATAAAAAATATTTTAAGTTAATTTTAATTAGGTACAGTAAGCGACAGAAATGCCTCTGACATTTTAAACTATCACCTGTGTGATACTAGAGAACTTTGGCTAGTGGCAATGGTGTCTTTATCTTGCTAATGTCTTGACATTATGTAGGAGGTATATGTGGGAAGTATATTTGCCGCACTCTGTATAACAATATAATAATGATTATAAAACATCGAAAAATTAATTATACCGGCCTTTCAAGGGTTATCATTGATAGTATCGGTGACATCATACTTATTATAAAATATATTATAAACTGGAGTAGACAAATCACGTCTTTTACGTTTTTATTTCAAAATGTTTCTTATTGAAAGCAATTCCAACTGACATTCATTTCTGTCCCAAGTTTCACGTTTCTAAGCCAGGCAACTTCGGATTCCTGCTGCTGATGCCTTATTCATTACATTTGTTTAATATAGACTACGGTCGATATTTTTAGGTTGACAAAAAAGGCCCTTATTATCGAATCTATATTGCATTATCATTAATTACTATTGTACAGGTTTCTGTGGCTATTTTAAGTGACACTATAAGATTTTATTCTATTGTATGTGTTATTATAATGTTGTAATTTATACCATTCCAAGCGGCAAAAGTAGCAGCAGCAGCCGAATGCAATATTCGAATAATTATATTATTATTCCTTAAGTGCACTGGAACGTGTCATAAATTTTGTGAGAAAAAAAAAAAAAAAAGACGCGGCATTCCTGCTTTCTTTCTCGTTTTCTTTCTTCTTTTTTTTTTGTGACGTTCTTTTCTTATATTTTTCTTTCTTCCTCTCTTTTTCTTTCATTTCTTTTATTTTTTATTTCTTTACTATTTTTTCTTCTTTATTTTGATTTTTCTATATTTATTTTTCTTTTCATGGCGGAAGGAAAACCAATAAAAAATGGACGAAGCTAGAAAAACAATGCAAGGTTCAATGCTTATCTGGTGTCGCTAATACGAATAGTTTTGGTTCGGATTTCTCTCTGGCCTTTGATTGGTCGAGCGGCGACTGACTAGCTTTTCCCTGTCGGACCCTAGCCGAACCACAAAAATAAAAGAAAAAACCGAATCACGTCGTTTTTTTTCTTTTTTTTCATCAGTATTTTGATTTTTAGTTTATGCCATTTTATTCTATCGAATATTTATGGCATATAAAAGAATTTTAGTGCAAATCGGTCTATGACTAAATCGATTCTCCCCCTAAATAAACAATAAGGTAAGAACTAACTTTGTCTACTAACGATTGGGTCAAATCGGCCCTCATCCCATCACGGTTGCATAGATGTTGGGTTTATACTTGGGTTGCTAAAAGGAGTATGTTTGGGTAACTATATTTCTATAAGTACAAAAAAAAAGTACAAAAATTCATACAGTCACAGCTACCTCTTAGAATTTTTCAATTTCTGTGTGCTTCTCTATGTGTCTGTGTTTAAATATGTGTACATTCGCGTGTATATATTGCGTGTATAAAAGCAATATTAATAGTGTAAGATATCAATATATCAGTGTACGTATGTATATATGGATTTACGCATGTGTAAGCTTATCACTGCGTGTTTAAGTAAGTTTTTGTATTTCATTTGAAGTTTTTCTCTACTCTATAATTCCAGCAGTAAATTTTTAGATACATCCCGTCAGTATTTTTAAATTAAGGAT